GACAATGTGTAAGTATTTTATTTTTAATAGTATTTTTTTGAAATATTAGTAATCCTATTAATTAACATTACTAATATTCCCTTTAACCCCTCCTGGTAAGCTAAAAATGCTTGTGTTAGGAGTGGTTCACGACAGTATTCGAATGGTGGATTCGAACTATTCTATTATTATTTTAATATTGTAAAGAAAGCTTGTTTTAATAAAAATATTCTTTAAAACAAAAAATTATGGGTATTTTACTAAATACAATACCTAATTAAATAAAACTTCTTTTGTTTTTTTATTTTGTACTAATTTATAGTAGAATATAATTCTGGTACTGATTAAGTAGACTTGGTACCAAACTTATTAGTTAAAGTTCCCAACACTATTTGCTTATTAGCAAGTGTCGCAACCTTGATTTTAACCAATTAACGTGCATTTCAACCCGCCTTCTCCGTACCGCTTCCCTCAGACTTTTGACAGACAGGTTTGGATGCAGAAATACACACATTAGGCGTCTATTCGGGCTGTGTAGTCGTTGGATTGACGCTTGTCTACCGTACTTGACGCGATTTGACGCGATTATAGTGTTCTCTACAAGGGGAGCTACCATTTAAGTGTTGGCAACACTGGTTTGTTTACAAGCCGATGGACGTTTTTAAGTGATTTCATGCATTCATGTTAGTAAAAAATTTATTTTCGTGTTCAAATTAATAAAGTACCGAATATAAAATGAAGTAAGTATATACTTTTGTTATAATATTAGTTTCTTCGTAACTTAGTCAACCCCTACAGTAATATTAATGATTTCGTTTTAATTATAGCCCTGCAGAAAGAGCGGCTCATCCTTCAACGGCCCAAATTTACGCATTAGGTACTAAATTTTTGGAGAAGAATCCAAGCCTTGCAAAAAGGGTTTTCGAAAGTTCCCAGTGTAAGAGACACCGCCCGTAAAATCTGGGAGAAACTGGCCCTTCAACTCAATAGTTTAGGGGGCTTTGTTAAGACATGGAAACAATGGACTATAGTTTGTAATTTTGTGACCAATTATTTTTACGTCATAGTAAGTATACATAGTTACTTAAATTTTAAATAAAACTGTTTTAGTATTGCACTGATAAAAAAGTGCTGTTAAGAAGAAGGATGCGTTACATTTTAAAACCAGAAATAAGACTGGTGGTGGTAAAGAGCGTGGAGCTTTCGGTTAAAATTTCCAATATGGACCATCGATTTAAATGCCCATATTTTTTTGTAGATAGTACTCACTAAAAGAAAGCGTTTTGCAAAGTTTTAGGTTGCGAAACCTTACGGTTCATGAGATATATTTTTTTAACTTTTCATACAAATTGGCAAATAACACGCAATAATTACAAAATAAATTTGACGAATAATGGCCAACATTTTTTTCTAATTAATGAAATAAAATTATAATATTTACAATTAATACTAATTACACACAATATGTAAAAAAAAGAAACTATAATATAGAAAACTAACAATTAGACAAAAAATTGATGTCAAACGTCAATCACTTCTAGGCATTTCGATCTAATATCGATTAATCGAAAAATCGATTCTTTGGAGCAATATAATCGAATTTTTGGATCGATTCGGAGCACCGCATCGATTCACTGAATCGATCCAAAAACCTCTCGAATCGGACCGATTCATCTGATTCTAGAACCAGCGATAAAATTCCCGAACTGGCTGGGGTAAGATACTGCAGTTTTTTAATTTTTTGCTGTTGGGGGACGCAAAAACAACCGATCTTACTTGGTTGATAATTTGAACGCAATATACAAAACGTAACATAATTAACACACTTTGAAAAAGTAGTTTGTTCAGAATTGTTTACTGAATCGATTCCTATCATTTTTAATATAGGTAATTTTTTATCCCAAAAATAATTAAAACTACGTAAATTACAGTCACACTAAATCTGTACAGTCAAAACAAATTGAAATAGACCGTAACTTAAGGCAATAGACTTAAGAGTGCAGTTTTATTTGTGTTATTACTAATTCTGTCATTCAATAAAAATAAAGAAAAATGAACTTTATTTCAAGCACGTTAAAGTTTTTGCGTTCGTGGATTTGTACTGTGACCACAACATTCTTCCGGAATTAGTATAACTAATTTGATAAATAATCAGTGCATATAAATGTTTTACTAAAAATTCAGTGTATGTATTATGGTTATAACATAATATACTAATTGGGGCGTCTGAGGGTGTGCGTTAATTACATTACATATTGTATATTTGAATAAAATAAATATTTATGAACGCATCCAACAATATCGAAAAGTTTTCATTTCATTTTCATTTCTAAATTTCTAATTCTATTCTTATCCGTGGAATGTTGGTCTAACTTAATCTGTGCTGTGAACAAAACTACATATACATACTACAATTTAATATTATAGCTGTGAACCTGTTTGAACTGTGAACTTGCGAATTTACTTTATTATCAAAAACATACATACTATATATCTAAATACTGTAAATATATATTATATGTTGAAGTTCATAGAGGTTTATAGTAAGGAAATAACCAGTATTGTGTTCGTGTAGCATTCATTTCAATTTGATAAATAGTGAGTTAATAGATTGAAACAGATTGATCGAGAAATGTACGTTGCAATTTGCCCTTTTGTTAAAGTATTGTTGTTGGTTTTAGCCTAAAATGTCCAATAAAAATGATACATGGAATCACTTTGTAAAAAACCTGCCAAGAGTGTGTCGGGCCACGCTCAGTGTAGGGTTCCGTAGTTTCCCGTCCGTCACAATAAGTGTTTCCACTTATGAGTTTAAAGGTATCCATTATGTTCGCGCTCCTGCAACTGCTCCCGGTAGTGGGTACTGTTGTTTACATCCAAGTTCAAAATGATAAAGTCCTTATAAAGTTCTACTTTTCAGATTTTTTTGGGGACACATTGTTTTTTACTTTTGGAGCGATTATTTCCGAAATTATTTACATTATCAAAAATGATTTTAGTAAACCCCTATTCATTTTTAAATACCTTTTCAACAATATATCACACGTTAGGGTTGAAATTAAAAAAAAATCACTTCCCACATTACATATAGGGGGCTACCCTAATAAAACATTTTTTTCCAATTTTTATTTTACCACTTTGTCGGCGTGATTGATACACATATTGGTACCAAATTACGGTTACAGAGATTAAGTGAGGACGGACAGACATACAGACAGATATGGCGAAACTATAAGGATTCCTAGTTGACTACGGAACCCCAAAAAAAGGAATCGAGTGGCGAACCACCCCTAAAACAAGCGTTTCAAGCTTACCAGGAGAGGTTAAAAGGAATATTAGTAATTTTAACTAATAAGATTACTAATATTTTAATTTAAAAAAAATAATAAAGTTCAATTAAAGAAAAAATCGCAAATTCTTGAAATTTCATGTTTGAAAATGTCGCGATTAATCGAAAATCGATCTTTTAATCCTCGATTTAATCGATAATTGATTCTAGTATCTTCGTTTCAAATCGATTCGGAGATCGATTTTTTAAGAGTGAATCGACATGCCTAATCACTTCACGTTTCAATTAGTGTAGAGTTCCGAAAATTTTGAATGTATCGATACCTACTCGATATCAAGTATCGCATCAAAAGTATCAATACTACTTGGTATCGAGTACATTTCAGTACTAACTTTCCAATATGGACCATCGATATATGAGTTTTTAGGGGCGGGAGGGGGGAGGGGAATGGATACCCCCTGTGCCATCCCCACACTGCGGAACCCCATGATTTTGGTGATATTCATGGTTAAAATTTATTATATTATTTATTATTATTCTCTTTTCCGTATGTCTGGTGAAATGGAGGGAGGATATGGGGGAGGAGGGGAAAATTAACTAGATTAAATGAAGAAAAGGGAGGGGCTTATGGGAGAAGAGGGGGTGTGCGGTTAGTAGCGGGGAAGTGGTGTGGTGGGTTATTAGTGGAGAAGTGAGATCGGGGGGGGGATGGGTTTAGAAAGGGAAGTCGTGTTCCGGCGCTCCGTGGCAGCTCCGGCGCTGTGGGATGAGCAGTCCCTCCGCCCTAGCGTAGGAAAGCACAGACACCTGATCTCGGTGCTTACGCTTCCCTACGGCGGGCGGGTACTGCTCTCCCTCCGCACCTCCGGGCTCTTATATACACACTAGGGGTTGGGCAGACAAGACCACGTGGATAGTGGGGTGCTCTGATTCGGTTTTGGGTATTTTTTGGGTATTGGTTTATATGCATATATAATTGCACTTATCAGATCTTCCTTTGCATCTATTTGGTTTGTCATAATTTTTCGTCTCCAAAATTAACGCAATGTACTCGATACCAAGTAGTATTGATACTTTTGATACGATACTTGGTATCGAGTATGTATCGATACTTTCAAAATATTCGGAACCCTACACTAATTGACGTTTGACATCAATCATTTGTCAAATTTATTTTGTAACTGCGTGTTATTTGCCAATTTGTATGAAAAGTTAAAAAAAATATATATCATGAACCGTAAGTTTCCGCATCCTAAAACCTTGCAAAACGCTTTCTTTTAGTGAGTACTATCTACAAAAAAATATGGGCATTTAAATCGATGGTCCATATTGGAAATTTTAACTGAGTTAGTTTTATTGTATTTATATGTTCCATCTTTTAATTTTTAGGCTCAGGCTGGACGCAGTCCTGAAGATAGTCCCTCTTTGTTGGCTTCTATCTACTCGTAGTTAATAGGATTAAAAACAGTTCCGTTTCTACCAATGGTAAGTTATTTTGTCTAACACAATAATCAAATTATATTACCTTCTACGGTTACCATACAAAACCAATTAAAGTATTATATTTTATCGATTGACTGTCGGAAATCAAATCATATAAATATGTATAGTAAATAAATTTTCTAAACAATACGAGTATGTTTTAAAAATTTCAAGTTTTAAATAAAAACCTATTAATATAATTATCACATAAGATGTAAATAATTGTATCATATTAATAAATATTGGGGTGATGGAAAGTATTTACTAGTCCTGACATGATTTGTATAACATAATCCAAAAAAGTAAAGAAGTAGTTTTAAATTTACACTCACTGAGTGTAAATTTAAAATATCTGAAATATTTTGGGAAGAACTCTTTCCTTCTAATTTTTTCACATGATGTTCTTTATTATTTAATATACATATTTGATATGCAAATATGTATATAATTAAATTATTGATGTTTGAATGTTTTCAGGAACAGCAATCGACACAGCTTATATTGGAAATTATCCAGCTGAAAATGTTCCTGTTGTAGAGGTATATTATATGTTATTTATTTACATACTATGTATATAATTGGTTTAAGTTTCTATATAAATTAGGATGTAGACTGTATATTATTGTAGTATCTAGATAGAGCTAATAAAATATTGATTCTATGTATATTTACATAAAATTATAATACAAGAGTATGTCAGTTATCATTATTATTTTTTTCAGACAACACAACAGCATGCGATTGAAAGGCAGGCTATTTTATGCCTACCTCGAACATCTGGGCCATCTTCTAGGCCAAGTGTTGTTCGCATGGTGAGTTATCTACTACAGATATTTAAAATTTCTTTATTACACAATTTCAACACTTAATATATCCGATTGTAGGTATCATTAAGCTCTTTGCCAATAGTTCAGTCTCCACCCTGCACACCACCCACAGTTGGAGGTCTCGCAAGTCCTCCCCGAACTCCTTCGGGATCAGGCAGCCACCTACAGCATCGGATAAGAAATGCATGGCGCCAATTGACTGGATCTCCAGTGCATAATCACCCACTGCCCAAGTAATATATTTTACAAGTAATATATTTTATCACATTACTAAAATTGAAGGATACCTCAAAGTTATGTTATCTATATATCTTCTTCACACCACTGTATTCTCATTTCAAGTATTAGTAGAAAAAATTGTAATTTTTTTTTAATTAGAACTTCGAGTGAAGTTTTCGACGCTTCATTGATTAGTATTACTGTTTCGTATCCGTATTTTATAAAAAAAATGTAATTCCTTTAGTTTGACATATGTCATTATTTTCCCCAGAATTTGATCCATATTAGCGATACAATTGATTGGTGTAGTTTAGTTTTTTTTTAGTTTAGTTTACGACGGGCTGCTTTCCGCAACTCCACGTCTAAGCGCGTATTTTGCGTGTGGTCAGGAATAATATGCTTATTCGAGCCATGATATCTCCCCGAAGAAGCTCAGCAGTCCCTTGATGTTGCAAGCAACTTCGGGGGAGCGATCCCGGCGTGCCGAGATGTTTAGCCCTGTATGAAGCGACTTCTGGACATGTCAGCAACACGTGAGCCGCCGTTTCTTCCTCTCCCATGCATGCCCTGCACAGGGGGCTCAGTAACACCTATGGCGAACAAATGTTTGTTAAAAGAGCCATGTCCTGTGATAGCACTTGTTACTATCCTGATCTGTGGCTTGTTCAGTCTCATTAGAACCTTGGTTAGACAACTGTTTATTTCAGGTAGGGCCTCCTAGCTTGTCTACAGTCTACTAAATTTTTCCAAAGCTGAGCGTGTAAATTATTGAAGTATCTACGTACCAGTGAACGAACGTAGCCAAAGGGGATTGGTATTATTGATTCCGGCCCTATAGTTGCTAGGGCCGATCCCCTTCTGGCCAGTTCATCTGCTGCATCGTTGCCTCTAGATCCATTGTGTCCCTTGATCCATTGCAGAGTCACATTGTTGTACTTACATACCTCATTCAATCGTTGATGGCACTCGTGTATCAGTCCCGATGTCCGTCACATTGCAACTCAGAGCTTGTAGTACCGCCATACTGTCAGTCAGTATTCTGATGGAGAAGTCTTTCACCTTCCTAGCATCTATTGCTATGGCCGCTTGGATGATACCCATGCATTCAGCCTGGAAGACTGTGTTGTGGGTACCCAGCGGTGTGCATATGTGGATATTAAGGTCTTCAGAGAAAGCCCCAGACCCCACACCTTCATTTGTCTTAGAGCCATCCGTGAAAACTTTGAGCTCTCTTAGACCCAATCCTTCCAGATGGTCAGTTTCCTTCAATTGTATCCTGTACTTCTTATCGAATGCAAATTGTTTTGGGATCCTATCATACTTGGATTGTAAGATAGGAATTTTTGAGTAAATTCTATCGATTATATCTGTATGGGGGACTCTACTCTTTTACTTAAAAGATTTAGGGTCTTGAGTCTAATGGCAGCTAAAGTTGCTTCTTGTTGTATATGTAGATGAAGCGATGTTAGCTCCAGAATAGCCTCCAAAACTGCTGTTGGTGTAGTCCTTATGCAGCCCGTGGCAGCCGTACAAGCTAATCTCTGGTAACGCTGAAGCTTTTGTATAGTGGTGGCTTCATTGGTTTTGGTCCACCATACCAGAGAGCTGTATGTGATCATGGGCCGAATTACAGTTTTGTACAGCCACAGTATAATTTTTGGCGTTAAACCCCATCGTTTGCCGATCATGTTTCTGCACTGCCAGAAAGTTAAACTAGCTTTGCTGATTTTGTTTTCTATGTGTTTGTTCCAGTTAAGTTTACTGTCCAAGGTAAGACCTAGGTATTTTACCTCAGAAGAAAGTTGGAGTTTTGTGCTGAAAAGACTTGGAAGATGATAGTTATTCAGCATTCGTTTTTGTGTGAACATTACTATAACCGTTTTATTTGGATTAACGGTTAGGTCATATTCCCTGCACCATCTCTCCACAATACGGAGAGCCGCTTGGGTCAGGTCGCACACAATGCTTGCTGTCTTACCAGCGACCAGTATTGTCAGATCATCTGCATAACCGACTGTGTAGAAATGATTAGCGTTTAATTTGCTGATGAGTTCATTAATGACCATATTCCACAGGAGAGGTGAAAGAACCCCACCCTGTGGGCTGGGTTTGATTGGTGTAACAATACAGTGTCTTTTTTTTTTCAAAATCAGCAGGTACGATTTCTGGATAGGAATATTGATTTTTCAAAAATCCAATGCTGCTGTTTTAGTTTTCATCAAAATCGGCCTTGAGGTTCCTTCGACTCTCATAGTTTCAGATTTTGCCATCCACGCTCATTGTGAATATTCACCTGTATATTATATATAGGTAGGTATATTAGGTAATTTTGTAAAAGAAGCGAAATTAGCTTAGTTAACTGGGGGTTGGCCTTTCGATTATTAGATCTCTAGTTTGATGTTTACCTGATGATAGTAAGCCTATGTACATAGACCCACTTATGTGTATAGACCAACTTAGAAGTGAATTTATTCTTTTCAGATGTTTTATTGTGATTTTCATACAAATGTATTGTAACTAAATAGGAATAATATATTTACTGTACCATTTATTATTGTTCTAGCAACATCAAGACTTCGCCATAGTCGTCGAAGTCGTGCATCACCTCCATCTCAACGGCGATCACAATTCCTAAGTTTTTCGGAGCGATTTTTGGCAATAGATGAAGGAAATTTAGAAATAAATCGCCGAAATTCTGAGCTTTTAGAAATGCTCGTGAATAAAGCAGTGCAGAGCATTGAAGAAGGATTAAAATTATAATCAGAAACTCTAAAAAAATAAATTTTTAGTGTTAGTGGTTTTTTATTATAGTTTTCTTTAAATATTAAGTGTAATTAATTAGAATACAATTTTACTAGCTTTATTAAATACTTAAACTTATTGATCTTTTGAATAGTGTAAGTAATTAGAATATAATTTTACTAGCTTTATTAAATCAGAAGAATACTTGACAGCTTTATTAAATAGACTTATTGATCCTAGTTTATAAAATATAAGCTTAATACATAATAATTTAAAATAAACATTGTAAAACCAGTATACATGTTTTTATCCAAAAAATAACAATTTTAAAAATTATAATTTTTATTAAAATAAAATATAGGTTTTTATTTAATCTAATGCACGAAACCGTGTTCGCCATAGCATATTAATTAGTTCTTGTCGACTAGACTGACCTATTTATTACAGCCTCTTGAGCTGATTTGAGATTTCTAGCTCCAGCTTGTGTATGAATGATTGTGTGGAAACGTAACTCCTCTTGACTGTCGTAGTCGTGTAAAGCAGGAGCCGGTAGGCCTGCACGATTACAAATGTTGTGTAACACACAACATGCTACTACAATTTTTGCAACCACATCAGGGTGGTAATGTATACTCTGTGTACCAAAAGACATCTAAACCTCCCCTTTAGCCTGCCTATAGTTCTCTCCATGGTATTACGCGCTGTCGCATGGAGTTTGTTGTAGTGTGCAGCAGGTGTGTCGGCAGGATTGGCCCTGCGTCGACTCCTTGTCTGCGGGACTCCTCGGGGCTTCGAGACTGCTGACCCTCCGGAAGCACCTACCTGGCGGCGCGTAATACGCCAAAGCAAATTGCCTACAATGTCGTACAACGTACGGCTCCCAGGACCGGCCCATAGAAATGGGCTGTGAGGATTACCCGGGTAATGCGGAATACCACGAGGCCCGAAACCTGCAGGGGATGAATAACAGTAGTCCCTTGTAGATGACAAACACTGAGCAGCAGGTATACCCTCTTCTACATTAGGTACCGGTACCATCAAATATGCACGTTTTGCATACCCAGAATCCCCTGCAATGACAAAAAATACATTTTAATGTCCCGTATCTAAGTATCCTAACTAGCTGAATGCAATGGTTTTACTCATGTGGATATTGATATTATATTTATATTATATATTTACCAAAGTATTTTTATTGTATAAATTTTCATGTGGCAAACAAAAGGTTTTTAACCTCTCCTGTAATATATTCTGGAAGAATAGTCTGCTTTTAAACAAGCTATATTTGTATAGGTACTTGTAACTTATGATATGCCTAAGGTAGGTACTTTTTATTTTATCTACACATTATTTTGTAAATATATAATTTGTGGAGTGAAGGGAGGCCACAGGTATTATTAACTAATGAATAAATAATATACCGATTAAGACACGGGGTAACTCACCTAGCAAATGTACAGTTTCACCAGCATTCACTAAGTCATCAAGGTGGTTCTGTATGATGCTATGATTAAAAATGAGGCTATCATGTGTAGTTCCCCATAGGTAGCATCAACACGCAATATATTTAAGTCCGCATCAGTAATCTACAAAACAAAGATAACATTATATTTTGAGTTACCTACCATTTGTTTCCATATATACAAAAAAATGTTCTTAGATATTTTTACAAATCTTACCAATTAGATATTTCTTGCCTGATTTCCTTTACGACAGTAATATCGCACTTCATTTTCTGCTGGGATAATAAAATTTAAAGTAACCCATGAATTAGACACCCCATATGAAACTACCCAGGAGACAGGAAACCTTAATTTCACCCTAAGCTTATTCAGCACATATGTTTTGATCTTTCCAAATGATCTTTCTAAAGGTTTAGTAATAGGCCGTTTGTAATATTTCTGGCGTAATCGTTTTAGTTAGGACTCCTATTTACGTTGTGTTTGTTTAGTTAGTTTTTTTAGGTGCCTTTTGGAGGAATGAATATTCACTAGAGCAATTTAAAGTCGTTGGTAGTGCCTTATAAGCTAAGTGAACCCCGTTCACGAAGACAGGGCTCGATGCTTTAGTATAATAGACCATACTATCATAAGTCTCTATTATAGGACTATACATTGTGATGCAGTACTTTTAGTAGTCGGTCGCCCGACCACCCCATATATATGTACACCCTTGGGTATGCGTCTCCGGCAGCTCCCCCATACAAGTAATTTATACACGAACACACTCCATAACTTAGAAATTTTCTGATACGCGAACATCCTCGCATGTCTTAAGAAATTTCCTTATACATAAACACGCTCAATCACTTCAAACAGTCTTACTCCCCGCGGAATTTTGCCAAGAACGCTGGTCACGGTGACTTCCATAACCAGCGGTGACGACAAGTCACACACTGTCTTTAGGAACTTCACCGCATGTGAACCCCACAGACCTATAGTATACTCAAATGTCACAAGTATATAGACATCTCTCCAAGACACATAATTGTATCAAATTTGCATTTTTCTTTTCATAGAAGAAAGGGGGCAAACGAGGATACAGGTCACCTGATACTATAGATACTATAAGTATAGGTAAGTGATTACCGCCGCCCATGAACAACTGCAACATCAGGCAAAGTGCAAATGCGTTACCAGCCTTTTAAAAAGGAAGGCTCTTTTCTTGAAGGCCTCTAAGATTTATTTTTAGCGCTAGATTTTTACTTTACTTTATTAGATTTTTTTATATTTTAGGTATCTAACCTCTCTTATAACTGTAATTTTCATCAAACTTAATTGATTTTCAATTGTATTCTGTACAGAAAAAAATATTTATAAAAAGTAAATAAGACATTTAGTCCCGTTATTTTTATTTCTGTTCTTTCAAACTTTGGTTTTTGTATAAGAGCTTTTTTTAATACAACGTCACCTCTATACCATGAAAATATTTTATATACATAAATTGAACGTAAACAAGAGCTTAAACCAGGAAAGTATTCTAAGGCGATAAAAATAGAATTGGTTTAAAGTGCTGTGGGTGGGTGCGGTCGTACGCGACCGTTCGGGATTTGACGGACTCATGCATAGAAACTTATATTTATAGACTACTTTTCTATAAAGAAGTTTGGCATTATAGAAATTCTCCATTCTATGGTTTAAACAAAAGTCAGTTATTCAATAGATTAATTACTACAAAAATAGTTTATTTTGATAACTATAAACCAAGCGGATGTCGGTAGCGTGAAAATTACTATTATTTCTATATATTACTTAAAATTATTTACGAAAAAAGATAAATTATATTCACACAAAAACTCTCATAACAATTTTATAATATAAAAAGCTCTTAACTTAGAAAAATCCAAAAATCAACGCAACAATGTACAACAACGAACACTCGACAATGACGCACTTCGAATGAAGATATAAATGAATATCTATAGACTAACCGAATTTCTATTCAACTAGAGGATAGAAAATTGCATATTGATTCTATAATGCTAAACTTCTTCATAGAAAATTAGTCTAAATATAAGTTTTTATGGGTTATAGTGCTGTGGGTGGGTGCGGTCTCATGAGACCGTTAGGGATTTGATGGAATATGGCCGCGGTCTTAAAGATTGGTCACATCTCTCGTCAGGTATACATTAAAACTTAAAAATGATATTTTACACCCAGTGCGTGCCACCAGTGATCACTTTTGGATCTGAGATGTGGTCCTTCACTCCTGAGAGCTCTCAGAGTGACTTTGACTTTGTTTGGGTTTTCTGTGGGTAATGAAAATAAAAATGACGACATCCGCAGTAATCCAAAGTGATATTATGACGTGGGCAGTATAAGCGGACCGGCCATATATGGTAGATAAAGGGATGACCTGGTAAGACATGGAGAATATCGATGGTTGTGGGTAGCTCAGGACCGTGCTATGTGGCGTTCCTTGGGCGAGGCCTATGTTCAGCGGTGAACTTGTGAAGGTCTGTAATGATGAAATAATGATGATGAAGAATGAGGGTTCACAAATAAAGTCCTTACACTAGCAGCTTTAAATCTATGAAATTATCAGTTTATGGAAATCAGGCAGTAAAAAATATATTTTACAGGTTGTAGCGTGCGAATACGGCCATTTGTTACATAATGAGACCTCATCTACAATAACTCATTATCCGTTTATTAGCAATTTTGGAAGCTTCAAACCAGTGTTTATTATAAAAAACATAGACATGAAGTAAATAGGCGTGGGTGTATCATTTATATCAACCGTTTTTTATGGAAGTGAAAATGATCCTTCGTGTCAACTGATGGTAATTAGTGACTACGCGCTCATAAATATTGGCAATTGAGATTACGGCTTTAAAAACTAAGTGGGTTCTTATAATGATTGCTTATATTTACACGAACACTCTACATTTAAATAAAGCTAGTTTTTAAAGATTTTATCGCGTATATGAACTTATTTTATATTCCCGACATTATGAGCACTTTACAGCACCCATGGTCACGGGGGTGACTGAGATGTTCTACGTCCAAAGGTGACAGTTAACCACGGCTAAATCCAGATTCAAATTATTAAGTTTTGTTCCGATCTACACAGTATGAACTAACAGTATCTTAAAATCTTGTAGTTTTAGTTTTTCCTATACATGATAGACTACATTCACAAACAGGCTTCTAAACTCATGCATCTTGCAGGAGAATCTTGCATTACACATGACTGATGGTAAAAACTGACTTATCTTCTTCGGCGGTTTTAAGTACATTGTATTGGAAGCACGCTACAAGATGTCGCCAATCTTGACAGTGACACCTCTGACATATGGCAGTATAGCAGGAAACACGCTCGACAGTGGCCGACTTCACTCGTTCATTGTGACATAGGCCCGGGACCCGATGCTTATTGTCATGCAAAGCTTGC